TAAAAATATACGTATATGCGAAAGGAAAATGTATCTGTTTAAATGAACGCCACCAATATTTCTTGTAAACACACATCGATTTACATCTTTTATTTCGCCTCCGACACAGAATTGTTTTCGTACAAAATTACGCAAAAAAGCTTACTCGTTCGTTTTTAGGCAAGCCATTGTTACGAATTTCGAAAATACGATTCGGATTGTAGCATACTATTACAGAAGTTGGCTGCGTTTAATTTATGTCAAATTCAACATGCGAAGTTTGCTGCGATGAAGGCAGTGGCAGTGAATTTAGAATTTGGGCTAAACTGATGTAATCTAATATGAAACTAATACCTCTGAGTTTTTTCTTAAAGCTTATCAAACATATACATATGTATGTATATCGGGCATATTCCTATTCCCTTAAACGAAAGTACAGAACGTCCATTGCGTCACCGGCACCGTCACCGTTATACCTTGGTTATAATGCACGGGGCGAATCCTAACACATCGCGGCAAATTCGTAAGGATCTCTTGATTTTACACCTTTTCCAACAGTATTTCAGAAAAATACAAATGTTTCACAAAAGGCCAAATGAATTGAAATGAATGAAAAACTCAAATGTATTTCAGAAAAGGACAAATGTATTTCAGAAAAGCTCAAATGTATTTCAGAAAAGGCCAAATGTATTTCAGAAAAAGCCAAATGAAATTCAGAAAAACATAATTGTATTTCAGAAAAAATCAAATGATTTTCAGAAAAACGTAAATGTATTTCAGAAAGGGGCAAATGTGTTTCAGAAAAGCACAAATGTATTTCAGAAAAGCATAACTGTATTCTAAAAATATTTTTCTAAAATACATTTGTGCTTTTCTGAAATACATTTGCTCTTTTCTGAAACACATTTGCGTTTTTCTGAAAATAATTTGAACTTTTCTGATATTTTTGGAAAAGGTGTAGATGCTTCCGTTTTACATTGCGTTCAAGTGCATTACAATCGTTTGAATTCATTGCCCATACAATAGATAATTAAGTGACAGTTCACTCTGTTCCGTTACTTCCATTATAATCCAGGCATTAATGTTAGCGTCAACGGTGCTTATGCGGCAAATTACACCCTGTCCGTTCACCATTGCGTCCGCAAAATCAAAAACTCGTTGCTGCTCTTTGTAATCCAAATCCAAAAATTTTCACAAACTGAAAAATTTTAAATTCAAATATGCAAACAAAATACACAGAATAGTTGTCACTTGACGCTAACGCATAAGTAAAGTCGAAATGTGAGCTAATTTGTGCGCCACTGTCACCGCTGTTCAGCTTGTTTATGTAACTTACTTAATACGAATACACCGATTCAATTTTTTTGACAACTGACGGTGGCGGTGACGATATGCACCGAAATCAAAGCGAGACAGTCTAGCACGCTTTTCGTGTACTATTGTGTACGTGAGTGCCGTTTTTGTGTATGTGTTGTGTACATGTTTATTTATAAACGAAAGTGTTCCTTTTCTTTTGTACGTGTTTATTAATATAACTGTACTGTAATGTTTTCGGAAGGGGTTAGCTCTTACTGACAATATAGGAGTATTACATATATGAATGAATCTCCCCAAGATTTAAAGCCAACTTCAGATTCCCCTTAGAAATTCTAATTCCACCAAAATCGGGGAATTCTCCCTGGGTTGGCATCACTGCTGTAAATGTAAATAATATTTTCACTTGAGTCTCTCTGTACGTAGCTGTAGAAAGCGATACACTGAGAGGTTGCTATTCGGCTATATCGGAATCTGTTGTTTGCGTGAAATTATCGCTATAATAAAAAAAAAAATTATTAATGCTTCCAAGTATAAATTGCAGAAAGTAGTAGAAAGTCTCTGGTCAAATTGTTCACAGTAATCTAGAGACATGGATCAAATGTTGAGTCCCGGTTTCTCGATTCCTAGTATTGGAGCAACTCCACTCCATCAAATGGATGCAGACCAACAGATTGTGCCCAATCCTGTTTATCATCCAGCAGCGGACACACATGACTTGAATCATATGGGTATGCCGTCGTTACTAAATAGCGGTAATTCACCATCAACAGCTAGCAACTCTATTATGGGCGGCGGTACACATCCGACATTGCCGACAGCGCATAAACAAATGCAATCCTACCAAAGTTCCAGCTCATTGATGACAAATGGAGGCGCGCCACAAAGTCTTATGCAACCACAAACGCCAGTAAGTAACCTATAGATCAAAAGTGGACACTAGATAATTTATGTCTCCTTACAGCAAAGTTTAATGTCACCAATGGTTCCCATGAGTGAACGCGCCGATAACCTTAGTAATATACATCAAACTATGGGTCCCGCAACACCTATGACACCAATGACTCCAGGTTCCGCTGATCCTGGTATTGTACCACAACTACAGTAAGCTATTTTATGGGCATGTAACATGTACGTTTAGCTAAATTTTTATCTTATTTTAGGAATATAGTTTCAACAGTAAACCTCTGTTGCAAACTAGATTTAAAAAAAATCGCTCTTCATGCGAGAAATGCCGAGTATAATCCTAAACGTTTTGCTGCAGTAATTATGCGGATACGAGAACCTAGAACTACAGCACTGATATTTTCCTCTGGCAAGATGGTATGCACCGGTGCAAAAAGTGAGGACGACTCTCGACTAGCAGCACGGAAATATGCGCGAATCATTCAAAAGCTAGGATTTCAGGTAACTTGTGTAAATGTACAGACATATGCACATATCTTCTTTCTGTGTACATACATACACATATGCAATGTTTCTCTGTGTGTTTACAGGCAAAATTTCGTGATTTTAAAATCCAAAATATGGTTGGATCATGCGACGTGAAGTTCCCAATACGATTGGAAGGTCTAGTACTTACACATTGCAATTTCAGTTCTTATGAACCTGAGCTATTTCCTGGTCTTATTTATCGTATGGTGCGTCCTCGTATTGTGCTCCTGATATTTGTGTCTGGTAAGGTGGTGCTGACAGGAGCAAAGGTGCGCCAAGAAATATATGAAGCTTTCGATAAAATATTTCCTATTCTAAAGAAATTTAAAAAACAATCTTAACACTTCTGTTCGTTGACTATTTTCTTTCCTAAAGTTGTCATATTACTTGGCAAATACGCTCCATTACTAGATTGATTGCAGTTACACATGCAGTTTTGATGGATCAGAGAGCTATTTTCCATAACATTATATACAACTATTTATAATGTATGTGTAAGTGTTTATTGTAGTTTATTCATAAGTTGTAACTAGGTAGCTGTGGGCTTAAAAGCCTCGAAGTATAAATATGGTTTGATTTTGTACGGTCTCTAATATTTGTAAACTATTTAGCGTGACTACATATTTTCGAAATAAATTACGGAGTTCTGAAAATTACCTTTTGGTTGTATAATTTTTAGGATAAGTTCAAACGCTATCTAGGGTTGTTGTTGGTTAAATTACGAGACGGTTCTTTGCACACGTATGTTATTAATGCCATGTATGCGGATGGCATCTAGTTTCCATACTTTTCGCAACACCCCAAAGAAATTATAACTAAAAACCAATTTACGTATACAGATATAAATCGAGATTTATTAGATTACTATCATTTTGGGTATTCTATCAGTCTTGCAAAGCTCTTGCACATTGCACAGATTGCACGGTAAAAACCGGGTTTCGTATGAGACAGCTTTGCAATCCGTCCACCGCGCAAAGTCTTTGCAAGACTCTGAGAATACCCCTATTGAAAAAGGATGATTTCTTAGATTTGCAAATTACAAACACTGAGCCATCAAACCACCCAAGTTATCGAACTCAATTTTTTCTGTTATATTTTTCGTTTTAATTTTTTCATCTTGCACAGCGATGACAATCAATTTACCCTGGTGCTTCCAACCATTTTTCTTAATCCATTGTTCAAGTGTTGAGTCTGTATAAGTATATTTTGTTAAAATTGAAAACATACAAGTTTATGAATCTTACTTGCCTTCAATACCTCCCAAAAGTTCTTTTAATAAATCTTTTCTGATTGTTTGGAAAGTAATTCCCACAACATGGCATACAAATTTACGTATAGAATCGTGGAAGCCAGATATGTGGCGAAACAGGGCACGATTCAGTTCAGCCCGCTGCCAAAATAATGTAAAATCAGTACGTTCCAGTATATCTGCCAAATCAATTATGGTTTGCACAGTTCCATCTTTCATTTGCTGAGGAAGTAGCAAACATTTTGCCATAACAAAATCTGTGTGTGGCAAATTGGTCAAGCACTTAAGTAAAATTGTGTAGGTGATATCGAAGTTCAGCATATGCGGATTGAACTGGTAAAGCTTCAGTACTGCTAGATTTGCTTCCAAATCATAGGTGTTATTTTTAGCCTGATCCTCGACATAAGCTTCCAATGTCTTCAAATGATCCGGGTTATACCTGTTTGCAAATTAGATAGTATGTACAATTATTGTTTAAGGTTATGTACTCAGTTTCGGCTGCATGAATATAAGCAGCGACTTACCGCTCAATGCAACCCAACATTTCCTGGATGGTTTGACTTTGACCATTTTCCATTTTAACCATATGTGACATTTTGTATTTATAAATATTTCTTATAATTTAATGGAAAATATTACAAATCCAGCAGCGCAACACAAGCACAATTCGAAAGTTGACGTTGATGGAAAGATAAGAGAGAGTTGGAAAGTCGAAAATACATCGATGCATCGAAAATATCGACGTTTTACTACTATGTCTACTAGTCGATATATCGATGTTTTTTTAAACTGACATTTCTAGTGTATTAAACCGTCATTCCAGTTTTTCAATTGTACAAAAAATTTTGGTGACTTTGACCAAAAAATTTAAATATCTCCAAAAGGTTCCGTTAGAAATATAATTAGCTCAGTTGCAGTAATTTTTTTCAAATTTTCTACAATTTTGCTAATAACATATTTTGTTGTGAAACATTCGGCCCTATGCCCTATCGTCATCGTCGACGATCGTCAGCGCATCAGTAACATGGCAGACGATGGCCGTATCGCCACTTTTACTGACGATGACGATATTCAACATAGGGCGGAATATCTGAAAAATCTTATGCAAATCGATGATCGATGTATGCCCTTCGATGCATCGAAAAATATCGATGTACATTTCGATGCATCGAATCAAAGAAAAACATCGATGTGTTTTTGCCACTGGCATCCCTAAGAGAGAGCGCCAGCAACTGTCAGTTGACAAAACAGGTAATGCAGTGCCACGCACTGCGTTTTCATATTGTAAAAGATCTTTTGATTTGTTTACATACAGTCATGTAAAAAAGTTTGCGGAATTGTATCAGGCTGCCTGCTCAAGAAACATGAAACATGCACTTTGCACCACCACCTGTTGCTTTTGCTTCTGCCTTCGGCCGCGCTTAGAGAATCTAACCCTTACTAAGTAGAATTCCTCTTTCTATGTTGCCGGACAGGAGGGGTTTCCGAATGCCAAAAGTATACATACAATATTTCTTGTGCATATAACTACGGCTACGTCATCCACAGTATTTTCGGGCTTTTCATCGAAATTTACAAAAAAGTGCATAGTGCAAACCGAATTTATTAATAAATTTGTGGTCCGAAATTTAAAAAATTTGTTTTAAATAAAACATTGATTCTTTGGTTACCCATGTGTGTCAAAGTTTTTGGATTCGGATTATGCGTTTGGACACAACAACCGAAAATGATTGTACAAATAACTAAACCGGACCCAAGTTTCTCAATTAGGGGCAACAGAGATTCTTTTTTGTTCGTTTTTTGTTATATAAAGCATTGGATAAAAATGTATGCACATACAAGCGAAACGCAAATTTATCTGTTTAGAGAACGGCACTAATAAATAGCTGTAAATTTCTTACTCGTTCGTTTTTAGGCATGCCATTGTTACGAATTTCGAAAGTTCGAATATACGATTCGGATTGCAGCATACTATTTCTACGATTACGAGTTGCAGAATAGGGGTGTAAGTCTCTCCGGAACGGTTGCCAGACGTACTGATTTAATCAGTACAGTACTGATTTTTCAACTCTTGTACTGGTTTTATTCATTGCTTCAATCAGTACGCTAATGGCCTGATTTTTCAAAATTTGTACTGAATTTTCAAATACTTTAGGATTTTCTTAAGGTTTTCACATAACGTTGGAACTTTCTTAAACTGTACTTAAGAAAGTAAGAAGAAAATAATTTAATTATAGTTGGCATGTTTGCGATAATATTTGATATGCCCAAGAAATTAATACAACAAAAAGATCAATCGATTTATGGGCATATCGCCTGGCCGTTACGTACCAGTTGCGATAATATGATGGAGCTTGAATTATTTTAAAAGAAGGCTGGCATTCTTTTGTCGAGTGTTGTTAGTTATCTCGAAAATAACTTTCAGTTTAATAACAACAAATTTGAATATTCTATATTATTAATTATTAGTAATATTATAAGAGTTTTGCATACTAGACATAAGGTTTTTAGACTTTGTAAAAGATTTATAACAATAATATAATAATTCGGAATTTCCAGAAAAAATTCGGGTATGCAGTTTTATAGCCAATTCAAATTTAGTATAACATTGTGGAACTTTGAATTAGCGCGTTGATTTTTGAGAATTTTTTTCGCTGACGATGTTAAGCGTTTTTTCCGTACAAAGTAGGGATGTTGCGAATGTTGAATTTTAGACATCTGCGGATGCGAATGCGAATATCTAACAGCTAACATCCGCGGATTCGAATGCGGATCTCAAATGATTTTAAGAAACAATTAGAATCTAGCATAATGGCGAGATTGTTTTTTAAACAGCGCTTACAAGCCAAACCAGATGTGTCAGGTTTTTCTAAAGCTTTTTAAAAAGAATTCTTCATTCTCATTCCTCTGGCTGTTTCAGAATTTGGGGAATCGGTAACTTCATCAGCGTTTTTCGATTTTAGTTTTTGTGGTTCATTTTTAATACTTTCTTTGCGACTGGCTTGAAAAATTTGTGCCTATAGGGAGCTAAATAGGTGGATATGGAAAATAAATTATTCTGTTTTTAAAGTCGTGGCTGCCAGCCGAATCGGGTCAGAATATTGTTATTTTTTTAAAAAGCATTTGAATCTCAGATAGTTACGTAATTTTAAACTTATTAAAGGTCAGATCTAGAGTTTTTTAATTATTTTAGCATCGATTCTCTCTATAGCCAGACCAGACGTTGATCATTTCTGCTGGAAATCCCTGTTGAAGGAGCTTCTCTTTGACTTTAAATAGCAAAGAAGGGACAGTTTTACCACAGATGTTTTTAGCCAAGGATCCAATGTATATCCCCATGAAAAAATATTGCCCGACAAGTTTATTTATTTATGTTTTTAAAAGTTTTGCTAAAAATAAACTCCCCAAAGAGCCCCATTTGAAATTATTGACACGAATTTCTGTAACATCAAAAGCAAATCATGAAAATTTGGTTGAGAATTTTTGGGCTTAATTATATACAATAACGAAGTGGCAGTGGCAGTGGCAGTTTTTCGAAATCAGCTGTTTTTTAGAAAGTGTGGCGTCCAATGAAGCGACTCACAATACAGCAGTGGCAGCTGGCAGTACTGCTCAGTTTAGCGCAATTTCTAAATTCACTGCCACTGCCTTCATCGCAGCAAACTTCGCATGCTGAATTTGACATAAATAAAATGCAGCCAACTTCTGTTCATGTCACTGAAGCCTAAAAGACAACAACAAAAAAGTAAACAAACAAAAGGGAATGTCGAAAAAAGCTGTCACTGACAACGCCGTATTGTATTTGCTGCGGCAGTGACTGCCAATATTAGCAGTAACAGCTGATTTTAAAAACTGTCACTGCCACTGCGCTAATATATTTTGGCCTTTACAGTGTACACTTTCTTCTTTTGTGGCTAGTGTTTTTTTTAAGATTCGTCCAAAAAAAAATCATAATAAAGAAAGAAACCAATGCAGGTATTTAAAGCACAGAAAAAAAAATTGTTAAAAAGACTATGTTCTCTTTGACGTACGTCAAAGGTCAAGTACAAGTTGAACTTGTATGACTGGCCATTGAAAGCGCGGTTATATAGCTTAAGAATAAATATGTTTAAATACATTTTTATTAAAGTTGATAAATATGACATTTGACCAGTTATGTTACACAAATACTCCCACGGCCACAGGCAAAAATATTGGCTACAACTTGTCATTATGTTTGCCATATATATGTTTTGTCGGAGCACTTGCACAACATTCGCATTCGCAAAAGCTCCGCATTGATTATTGCGAATGCGAAAGCGAATGCGAATGTTAAAATTAATGCGGAAGTTCCGCGGTTGCGACTGCGAATGCGAATATTCGCAATAACCCTGATACAAAGTATATTCGATTTTTTTTTGTATAGAAGAAAACGCTTAACATCGTCAGCGAAAAAAAAATCTCAAAAATCAACGAGATTTTGGAGCTACTTCAAACTTGCACAATTGTATATTAAAGTTGAATACTTGAACTTCGTCGAATTATTATAAATCTTGTACGAAGTCTAAGAGTACAACTAAAGAATAACCTTTTCCGGCGTTTCACGCTATTCAGGCTTTCAGCTACACAATTCAGCTATTGCTGAAAGCCTGAAAAGCGCCGACCGCCCATAATGCTTTGTTGTG